CCCCCCCCCCCCCCCCCCCCTCGTGGTTGCACACCCAAGAAATCACTGTCCCACATGTCCGATGTGATTCGCGGAACCCCAGTCCCGCGAAGGAGCTCAGGCCCCGCCCGTCCTCCCCCCCGCCCCGATCACGCTCATGAAACGAAGCCTCTACACGTCTCCCCCGCTGGGTATGTCGAGCCTGCAGTAGTTTTTTTTTTGTTTACCCTTGACTTCGAATCAGCGCTCACGGCATGTGGGATGTTTACTCCAACCCGCGGTCGCACAGCCTGCAGTAGTGCGCACGGACAGTGCACAAGTTGGATTCACCTGCTTTTTTTTCCCGGGGAGGCGACGCAGAATTTTTGGCACTGAGTGAACCACCCTTCTACCCCCCCCACGCTTCGTGCGTGCGTTGATATATCCTGAAGAATCCCAATCCCGGGTTTCAAGGAGTTTGGCATCGGCAACCACGAGTCCCACCCTACCCCGGAGATGCTGAAGGAGTTGGGGTTCAAGCAAGGGGTGGTTTCCACCGGTAGCTCCTTCGACCACACGAAGACGGACGACAAAATGATGGAAGAAAACGGTGATCAGAACACAGAACGGGCGCGGAGATAAGAAAAGAACGTCAAAATCGGGTCGAGGCTCAGTTTTCATCGCTACTACTGTCGAGTATACGTGTAGTGCAGGATCCACCGCTGAGCTTCTTTTTTTTTTCGTATTTTTCGTGAAAATTTGAGCCTCCGTTTCTTACGAAATACCAGCACTACACTGGGGGCCCGGTCTGCACACTCCTTACCTTGCCACGCTTTTGTATTTATTCGCTAGTGCCATACTACTGGTTCGACCATGCGGGAGAATTAAGTATTAGCTCTCCCGCCGCAGCAGTTTTTCGACCTCTGGAAAGTAGACAAATAGTTGTGGTCCATCCACAGCATCCTGCACGGCAACTTGTCCGTTCACGTTTTTTGTACAGCCATCATCCTGACAGTGTACAAAAAACAAGCACGACCAGCACGACCTCCGTGAGAGGTGCGGAGGACAGCAGCGGCTCAGTGCCCGCTGGCAAGCAACATGTGCCGCCGTTTTTTGATTCAACCCTTGTGGCGTGTAAGCTGACCTCCGCCATGTGCTCCCCGTCCGTTTCCGTCGCACACACGTGCGTTGTCTGTTTCCTAATCCCGACTGGCAACAACATGAATTGTTGTGGTTGGCTTGTAAACAGACGCAAGGGTGAAGGACATGGAGGCGGCGGCCGTGGCCTGGGCATGCGAACAGCACGGGACCCCTCTCTTTTGCATCAAGGTGGTCACGGACCTCGTAGATGGTGGAGGGGTAGGAGAGGTGAGTGGAATACGGAGCCCCCACGAAACGCGTTTCTGTTTTCAGATGCACGGAAACTGACGTATTTCCACTGGTCAGCCGGTTTAGCGCGGTTGGTGCTTTTAAGCGAGACACATGCGGGAAGCACTGCCCCAGGATTCGTGATAGGTGGCCGCGGTGAAAAAAGATGTTACAAGCTACACATGAAGTCTGAAGTATTTTATCTTTTAGAAAGATTTGGCTGTCCCAGGTATGTATTCCATCCCAAGACCTTTCCGCGGAGGTATGGAAACCCAGATTACACGCGGTGTGAAAAAGCGCGGTGGTAAGGAGATGTGGGTGCACGCGGAGAGCATCGGGAATGCCTCTCTGCGGGACGGAATGGCCATCGTTCGCTCTTTCCCCTGTGCGCGCGCTTGTTCTCTCACGCTCTCTGTCCCTCTGTGCCCCGCTCTCTCTGGCCCTCCCTTTCATCTCTTTGGCGTTGTCTTCCTCTCTGGCCTTCAGGAGGAGTTCTTGCAGAACCTGAAGGCCGCGTCAGACTCGCTGCAGCAAGCGATGCCGAGAGTGCTCGACTTCGTCTTGTCGCGTCAGCTGGCTGAATTGTAGCCTACTTGTAGGCGCGTGGAAGACCGTGGACCCGACCGCCTAGGGATACTTATATTCTTAATGTCTCCTGCGGTAAGGCCCTTGAGGCTTATCCGACTGCCTAGTTAGAAGAGTGGAAGAGTCGTTCTTATGTGATGCGATAGGTGTGGTGATATGCCCTGGATGTATTGCGGTGGCGGTTTGCTGGTTTCCCTCGAGGTCCGATAGAAATTGCGCAACCCCAGCCTAGTATATGCAAGAGCTGGGCTGGGAGTCGTTCCGAATAACGTTATTTGAGGTGATCGGGCAACAATAACCCCGAAACAAACAATCTTAGGCTGGCGTGTGATAAGTGGAACTATTGGCCCGGCATCGTGTACCACCTCTGGGAAGGGGGTAGGGGGGCAAGCGGTTCATCGTCAGTACAACGTCCGCCGGTGTGCCGTAATGCGAATGAGATCGCGTTTGCACCAGCCTTGAGTCATTTTGCTCACGTAGGTGACTTTCTCGAAATTACCATTAGGTTGTCGAGTGTGAACCCCGGACATGGCGCATGTGATGTCGTGGAGCTTTGTTACTTCGTTCCAAGCCAGGAAAAGCAACAAAGCGGATTCGAGGGCTACCGTCAAACATGTTTCTCACTACAGGGGTTTCCCGTAACGTGATCTCCTTCGTAAAGCTGGACGTCCACCTGCCGCACGACCTTCATTCCACAAAAGTCGTCGCCGCCATTCCCGCTTCTTGTCCATCACGATGATGCCCTTTCTCCTTCGCCTTGCACCCAACATCTCCAGCTAGCCAGACTTTAATCAAACGTCGCGCTTTCGTGTGGCACAGCCAAAACGTGCAGCAAATACGAATCCGAACATCATACTTTGCCGAGAGCACGCGAACAGAAACAACCGATTACCGCTCGGGACGATACGGACATGTACATTTTCAGTTCCAAGGCATGGAGAGACAACCGGAAATTTCACGAAAGCCTTCTTTCAAAATAGTTTTCCTGGAATTTTCGTCGGGAGACTTCGTTCTTCTCGCGTCAGTTTTCGGAGATCGCGAGAAGAAAACCTACTACTGCAATGGGTGCGATGATGAAACACAGACGGTATTCCGTAAACCCTACAAATTCCTTTGGGACAGAGCCACCACGCATGGCATTCGGCACAAACTGGGGGCGACTGGGTGCTGGGAGCCCAGGCCAACCTCTGCGACTGATACTGCAGACATCATTCGCGAGCCCGCTCCGCACGAAAACCAACGACTAACACACACGTGGTACGCAAGTGGAACGTGAAAAACATACCTGGTTCACCTCTCAGAAAGGATAACATGGACCGCCAACCGACAACGCCGTCAAGCAGAACCATTGCTGGACGGTTGGATTGGGGGGTGGGATTCCCCAGCAGAAAGCAGTCAAAGAGGAAACTCAAAATTCCAGGTACGTAAGACAAATATGATGCTGTACAGACCGCATGCCGGCAGATAAGATACGACGGGCAAAAATAAGCAAGGGGCAGGCGCTAGCGTAGTAGCGTGGGAGGTTGTCTTCGCCTCCAATGATCGACGTCAAAGGCCCGGACTTTCGACCAGAAACCACATCAAAAAGAGAAAACCGGCAGCCACGGAATGTACCACGGTATGTGACTTCCGCGACGCAAGGCAATACCCACCTCGGTTGTGGGAGGGAGAACGGTTACGTCGCGTGGGCGTGTCTACACAGCACGAAGCACCCACACAGCAACCCTTTCTTAAACCCTTCCTTCCAGTTCTACTCTACAACACGCCAACACGAAGGACCCATGAGGCAACCCAGAACCCCTCGTGAAACGTTTCCTTCCAGCTCATCTCCAAAGCTCGCGCCGCCTACCCGGGGATACGTAGCCGGCAGCGACTGCGTTACCCAAGCTTTTTCACGCAACAATCGAAAGATACTTCGTAAACTATCCTCTCCCGAAATCTTGGGGATCACGAATGGCACGCCGTCGATTTCTTTCTTTGCCTGACGTACCGTTTTCGGTACCGCATGGCCTCGGCGAAACGCACATACCCCTTGCGACAAAAAAAAAATACTCCTGCCACGCACCGACATATTTCGGGGTCAACACCGCATACGCCCCTCTCCCCAGAAATACACGAAGTCGACAAGCCTGCATCGTCAACACAAGATGCTGGAAGAGAGAGACAGGGCACAGGCAACAGGTATACTTTCAGGCATGGGACATGTAGAACGAGGGACCATCGGGCATGATGTCAAAGAGCGTTTCAAAAAAGCTCCGGCAACAACACACCGCTACTGCGACTCCCGAATTCTCGACAAAACACGACGTCCTACGATGGCACAAGTCATGGGATAGCCTCGGCAAACATGCCATCCCGAAAAAATGACGTGGGGGGGGGGGGGGGGGG